TATCACTCTGTCAAGAGTTTGTTTACACTTTAACTAATGGTGTAAACAGGGATGTTCTTGTCAGTTCAGGTAATTTCTAATGATGAACAAGTGTGGGACATTAACAGTGCACCCTGTGGAGAGACAAGGAATTATGGGTAGCATCCTCTAGATCTCTGAGTTTGACTGCAGATATGTGGACTCCAGAAGTTGCTGTCAATTTCACAGTGTAATGACGGTGAATGCTAACAGTTTTCGTCAATATTACAACTGCAAAATCCAGGCCAATTAAAGGGGATTGAAGTTAGTGCACAGAGAAGATTAAATTCATTGGGTACCCGAACTGAATGACTCCTTTTCATCATCTCATTTAATGGTTGAATGGGCTCAAGGGGTTAAGTGGCATCCTCCTGTTCCAATATTCCCGAGGGCATAGGCCAGGAAAGTGGGGTCAATGTAAAGTTCAGCCAGACTGAATGGCATAGCAGGCTCAAGGGGCCGTTTGACCCAATCCTACTCTTTCTCCTTATTTTCTGTGCTCCTTACTTTCAAATGATTTCTTACCTGTGTTCCAGTCCAACAACGTTCCCAGAAATGCTCAGTGTGCTTCTCCGCAAAGTTAATTGCACCTTTACCAGCCTCCAGTCCAGGTGGAGGAAGAAGTGAAAGGGAATGAACGCAAATGCTGCAGAACCACAAAGTTGCTCAACATCGTTTCTTCTACAAAGGAGAGTCAATTTGGATTCTCTGCATGGGTTCTGGCTGTTTCGACCAGGCTTTTCCTGACCTGTTACTTCTGAGCGAGTTGTGCATGAGGCTATTTTTCCACAGAATGCTGTGTTAGTCCACACTCTCAAAATTCTTGTTGCCTCGTTTGCATGTTCAAAAACCTTTTTTTTATTCTGGTCCGTCACCACGCAGGAAAAACTTTATGTGGATTTTACTTTGCAGACCTTAGACTGTAAAGCTTTGCTGAGAAACTGGAAGGTCAGTGGTTGTATAGCAGTGACCTCTGTTTGACCCTAAACCTTCCATAAAGTGTAGGGGAGGAAAAGACAGAAACGTTAAGTGGAATGCTTTTGTGCTGGGTTCCCTCAGCAGTATGAGTTACTGGTGATAAAAACTCCAGACATTCTGCTTATTTCTTTTCTTTAATGGCAAGACCACCAGCACCACAGTTCATTTTCTTAACACAAGCCTTAAAATGGAGTTAGTAGCCTAGAAGGAATGGGGAGGGTTGGTCGAAGACCAGAGAGTGAGGAGAACAAAGGAGAGATTCTTCACTAATTAGGTGAGGCAACAGATGCTCATATGAGTGACGTTTTTTTATCAGCCGCAATTATTTTGCCTTGAAAGGAGAAGAGAGTGCAGTGTTGGGTATTGTTTCCCAAGAACGTCTAATTATCCAGCTCTTTAGGAGATGCCCAGCTGTGGGTGAGGGGGGAGAAAAAATGCAGAAGGACATAAATCAAAAGCTGCACCCCTGAGTTTGCTCTCGGGCAGAGTCTGGTGCAGTTCAGAAAAGTTACTCTGAGAATCTCCACATCCCATTCCCCCCATCCACTGCTGTTGAGGTTTATAAGCCCTTTAGCTTGTTTCATTTCTTTGTTGAACTGCGTCAAAGTAACCTTTCCTTCTCTTCCTTTTCCGCAGGTTCATAAATGCCAGGAGAAGGATAGTCCAGCCCATGATTGACCAATCTAATCGAGCAGGCAAGTCCCCAATAGTAACTGTATTCAAGTCGCACAGGCGAAAATCATCCTCAAGCCATTCACTGGGAGAGCCATTACCTGGTAAATAAATAGACACCACTGAATGCTGGGAATGACTGACCACTAAATTAAAATAGGACTTTCCTGCCATAACCAAACTAATCAGTTTACCTTACGTGATATCTTCCAACTTTTTAGATTTTTTTTAATGATAATAACTTATAGCTCAATGTCCTGCTTTAAGGGCATTTATTTTAAAAGATGAATTAGACGTTAATATTTATTTATTTGATTGAATTTTTGAGTTTTCTTCCCAGCTTTTACTCTCTGTTGCTGTGACAACTTCCTGGTGCATGGCTTGGTGTGAATTTGCTGTAGATGTTTTTAATTACCTGTCAAAGAGGGCGAAGGGGTTAGCATTGCTTGGAGAACACAGTAATGTTCTCGGTTACTTATAAGATATTGCTTGATATGCCTAAGTCACTAATAGGTGTTTGTCTAACTAACTGGTTCAGGGTTGTGGTTCAGGTGTAGTGGGACAAATGAGACCCTTTTCTCATTACTAAACACCTTTGCCATATTTTTTCACCTGTCATTTTTATTTTAACAAACGCTGTCTCGTTAATGAAAGCCTTGGGTTACTTCTGCCTTCTGCTAGAATTGGTTTGACTTTACTACGGTCCAGCCTTGTAATGTATGTCTGTAATCTTTCAGGGTAAGGAAATCAAAATAAGTAAAGGCTTCCGTCACCTCTGTAGGTCTTGGAAATGAAGACAGTTTTGAAGTTACACAGTCAGAGCCAAATAAAATGCACTTTCATTTTGCTGCAAAATATTGGTTTAAGAGGACTAAGGCTTTGCCTGAAATTATTCTTGCAACTGTTTTAGAGAAAGGTGTGAAACGATTTATTTGCAACAGTTAACACACTGTACTGCTTAGAAGCAGAGATAAGAATATTAGAGCAAACTGTTTTTGTATTAATACACTGCTATCATGTGGCATACTGACCGGTTGAGAGGGCAGCAAAGGTCAGTGTTTGTCTTTGCCAATTTGTTCAATTTATTTTTATCTTATTGTCGAGAGGGGAATCATCTTAAACAAAGGGCAGCACTTCGAACTGTGCACTGTGGTAGAATACAACAAAAAGTTTAACTGACTGATGCACACAGAGTGTTTGGAGGGTTGGTTTGAAGCTAAGGAAAGACTAGAGGATCAACAAGACCACCTCTGAAATGATATTGCATCAACCTCTCCTTATAGCATAGCCCTTTCATCCCAGGAAGTAATAAAGTGAGCCTTAGTCCCAGATGTTCTGCAGGTTTCACACAAACTTTCCAGCCTCTTGTTGAGCTGTTCACATCACCCTTCCCTGCCACATTGCCCATCCGATTTCTGCTGCTCTCTGGACTCTGATGTTCGCTGAACCTCAGGAAAAGCTGCCAGTTTCTACCTCTAGAAGCACCATAAGTGAGCTGCCTTCAAAGGAGCATTGAGCATGAACAGGTTACATGACTTAGAGTCATAGAGTTGTGGAGCTGTACAGCACAGAAACAGACCCTTTGGTCTAACTCATCCATGCTGACCAGATATCCTCGATAAATCTAGTCCCATTTGCCAGCATTTGGCCCATATCCCTCTAAATCCTTCCTATTCATATACCCATCCAGATGCATTTTAAATGTTGTAATTGTACCAGCCTCCACCACTTCCTCTGGCAGTTCGTTCCATACACACACCACCCTCTGTGTGAAAACATTGCCCCTTAGGGCCCTTTTAAATCTTTCCTCTCTCACCTTAAACCTATGCCTTCTAGTTTTTGACTCCCCTACCCTGGGGAAAGACCTTGTCTATTCACCCTATCCAGGCCCCTCATGATTTTATAAGCCTCTATAAGGTCACCCCTCAGCCTCCAATGCTCCAGGGAACATAGCCCCAGCCTATTTGGCCTCTCCCTATAGCCCAAACCCTTCAACCCCAACAACATCCTTGTAAATCTTTTCTGAACCCTTTCTAGTTTCACAACATCCTTCCATAGCAAAAAAACAAGAATTACACACAGTATTCCAAAAGTGGCCTAACCAATGTCCTGTACAGCCGTAACATGACCTCCCAACTCCTATAGCCAATGCACCGACCAATAAAGACAAGTGTACCAAATGCTGCCTTCACTATCCTATCTACCTGCAGGTTCTTTTGTATTTTCTAATCAACCTGTTCGGACATGTCATTACACACCTCTGGAGCAAGTGGGACTTGAACCCAGGCCTCTTGGCCAGATGTCTTGGTAAGGACACTAGCACTGCATCACAAACGTCCAGGTTACTTGACTTTTTAAGTGGAACCCATCCAGGTGCCTGCTTTAATTAGTGTAGCTCTGGGACAGGATCAGAGTCCCCACTTTAAAACCCCTCACATCATTTCCACAGCCCCCACCTCATTGCCTCCAACACAGACTCACAATCACTTGTGCTCCTCCAGTTCTGGTCTCTTGCTCATCTGTCATTTTAATCACGTCATCATCGGTGACCGTACTCTCTGTTGCCTGCATTCTACTCCTTCCCAAATGTTTTTCCCTGGGCAGGACTTATACAATTAATGGTAGGGCCCTGGGTAGTGTTATAGAATTGAGAGATCTAGGGGCTCAGGTACATAATTCTTTGAAATTTGCGCCACAGGTAGACAAGGTGGTTAAGAACCTGTATGGCATGCTTGTTGTCATTGCACAGATCATTGACTATAGGAGTTAGGATGTCATGTTGAGGTTGTACAGGACGTTGGTGAGGCCTCTTCTGGACGACTGTGTGCAGTTCTGGTCTCCCTGTTATGTGAAGGATTTTATTAAACTGAAGAGGGTTCAGAAAAGATTTACCAGGACATTGCCGGGAATGGAGGGTTTGAGTTTTAAAAATAAGCTGGATAGGCTGGGAATTCTTACAGAGGAGCACAGAGGTTGAGTGGTGATCTTACAGTGCTTTAGAAAATCATGAGAGGCATAGATAAAGTGAATAGCAAAGGTCTTTTCCCAAAGGTGGGAGAGTTCAAAAATAGTGGACGTATTTTTAAGGTAAGAGGACAAAGATTTAAAAAGGACATGAGGGGCAATTTTTTTACACAGAGAGTGGTTCATGTGTGGAATGAACTGCCAGAGGAAATGCTGGATGGGAGTGCTGTTACAACGTTTAAAATACATTTGGATAAGTTCACGAATAGGAAAGGTTTGGAGGGATATGTGCCAAATGCAGGCAGGCGGGACTAGTTTAGTTTGGGAACATTGTCAGCATGGACTGGTTGGACCAAAAGTCTGTTTCTGTGCTGTATGACTCTATGACTCTCACTTTAAATGCACTCCTTAAAACCTCCCTGTTTGAGTGAGCTTTGGGCCACCTGTTCAAATATCTCTAGGTATGGCTCAGTGTTTGTAAATGATCTTGTTGAGGTATTTTACTATTTTCAATGGCTGTATAAGTGCTATGCACATCTAAACCTCTACCTGCTTGATGTGTCTGCTCCAGTTTAGGTGTTTATCCAGTGAGGTTTTAATGATATACTACCCATGGCCTTTGGTAGCTCATCAAAATATCAAACCATTCCATGCTACATGAGAAACATAGAACCAGGAGAAGGCTGTTGAGCCCATTCGAATCAATTCTGTCCTTCAATAGGATCATGGCTGATCCTCTATCCAATGCCATATTCCCACTTTCTCCCCATACCCTTTGAAGTGCCTTAAAATGTATCTGTCTCTTTCTTGAATATATTCAGTGACTTGGCCTCCACAGATGTCTGTGGTAGAGGATGCCTCAGGTTCACTCCACTTTGAGTGAAGAAATATTTCCCCATCTCAGTCCTAAATGACCGACCCTGTATCCTGAGACTGTGTCCCCTGGGGCTAGACTCCCCCAACCTGGGGAAACATCCTCCCTGCACCTAGTCCGTCCAGCCGTGTTAGAATTTTATACAGTTCAGTCAGATTTCTGCTTATCCTTCCAAAGTCTAGTGAATGCAAGCCCAGTTGAACCAATTTCTCCTGATAGGACAGACCTGTCATCCTCAGTATCAGCCTGTGTAATACCTGACAAATAGGAAGATGGGTGTAATTGTTGGAGGTCAGTAATCTCAGCTCCAGGACATCTCTGCAGGAGTTCCTCAGGGTGGTGTCCTAGGCCCAACCATCTTCAGCTGCTTTATCAATGACCTTCCCTTCATCATAAGGTCAGAAGTTTGTGACTCCTCAGGTACTGAAACAGTCTAGTTTCAAATACAGCAAGACCTAGACAATATCCAGGCTTGAACGAAAAGTGACAAGTAATGTCCATGCCACACAAGTGCCAGGCAATGACCATCTCTATCAAAAGAGAATCTAACTAATGCCCTTGACATTCAATGGTGTTACCATCGCTGAATCCCCCCACTGTCAACATCCTAGGAGTTACCAATTATCTGCATTGTAACTAGATCAGCCATATACATACTGTGGCTACAAGGACTGGTTAAATGCTCAGAATTCTCTGACAACTCACCTCCTGGATCCCCAAAGCCTGTCCACCATCTACAGGGCACAAGGCAGGAGTGTGATGGAATACTCCCCACTTGCCTGGATGAGTGCAGCCCCAACAACACTCAAGAAGCTTGATACCATCCAGGACAAAGCAGCCGCTTGATTGGCACCATGTCCACCATCTTCAACATTCACTCCTTCCACCACCACACTGTAACAGAAATGTGTACCATCCACAAGATGCACTGCAGTAACTCACCAAGGTTCCTCCAACAGCACCTACCAAAACCACCACCTTTACCCACCAACGGGGATAAGAACAGCAAATGCATGGGAAACTGCAAGTTTGCCCTCACGCAGCGTCTTGTGTTGCACACAGTTTAGGAGTTCATTGGTTCATTGCCAAATTCCTGGCATTTCTGATTCGAGAGTGCCATGAGAGAACCTTCAACATGGACTGCAACATCATGAGGAAGGTAGCTCACCGTGGCCTTCCCTGGGGGAACCAGGGCTGGCCAATAAATACAGGCCCAGCCTGTGACTTCCACTTCCCAGAGGCCAGCAAATTACAAACACAAAACAT